TGCCACAGAATGTATATGTACAGCATTTAGAAATGACAAACATACACAAAAGTCGAGGGGAAGGGGGCATGCATGTTAGAGCACAGACAAGAGTGATCATTTGAATCGATTGTCAAAAATATTGATTTATTGATACATATCAATTGGCTACAGTAGCCCAGAACAGACAAACCAAACACTGGCTCAAGATTAGGCCATTCGTGTTTTTTGCGCCGTTCTCCTACAGGCTTGGCACATGAGAGAAGATCCAGTTCTGCAACCTCACTGCTAGATGCCTCTAAATCCTACACACTAGACTTTTAAATTAATCAATCATCAAATAGTTGGTCATTTATATTTTTGTTGATCACCTCATAGATTAATTCACTAACTGTTATAAGCTTGGTTCATAACGGTACCAATAATAGTTTTTGGGAGTTTTTGAAAAGTTAAAGCAGAAACCAAATCCCTACAACAAAACACTGCCCACAACCATTCAAGAAAAAGAAAAGTCATCGTTGTCATGTTATAGCCTTGATATATTTATATTGTAATTAAGGCGTATGCCCTCTTCAATGAGTTTTTGGTGGTATCAAAAATGTTATGTAATATCAGTATTTTTCAAGGTATTGTATGAGTGTTAGAAATTCTAGTATTGTGACAACACTAGTATGAATAAGAGTAGAGAATTAAAAATGTAACTTTGCTTTTAGTTTAGCTGCAACCTCCAAGGCTGAAAAATGAAGCCAATGCAGAAATTTAACAAACTGCAGTTCCTTGAATGGCCACTTGAGGCTGGCTCTAAGAAAAGGAGTAAACCCCCATAGACCCCCATGTGAAAATGCCCAACTTTACAGCTGAAATAAAAGTGTTTACAGTCTGGTACGAAAATTGTTTTGGTCTCTATAGCTTATTTAAACATTTATGACAACTGTACAGGGGGTTAATTTTGTATAACTCACTCTTTACATTTTATTTAAGCCCAAAGTTCTGCATATTTAAGGGCGGGGCCACTTTGATTCACAGGCTGTCTGTGAGGTGTCGCGACAGTCTATGAGTCAGATCCACACCTCACTCCTCCACAGTTTCCACCTCTCATCCACATAACAAACCACTGGGTAATGTCATGCTTGCTACGTCCATTATTGATACAGTCTTCAGGGTTCCCAGCGCATCATCCAACAGCATGCAGCCAATTAAGGTGTTAATTTCTTCTTCTTTGATTAAACTGTACTTTTATTTTGGTAATAGTCCAGTGCAATTCTGTGGGACAGCCAGAGTTTAACATATGACAGTGTTCTAATATTAAGGGGTTTAATGTGGGTTGAATTTGCATTCAGTAGCCCTGTTTCAGCCCTGTGACAGTCTGGTGACCTGTCCAGGGTGTTTGCCAACTCTTACCCAATGTCACCTGGGATGTTATACATGTTTCAGCTGTATGAAACTTGTATTATATGTCCACCCCCTATATTATTCTAAACATAATGTATGTACACCACTAGGGATGCACCGAAATGAAAATTTGTGGCTGAAGCCAAAGCTGAATAATATTAAACGCTTGGCCGAATACCGAGTACCGAATACTGAATATTGTTGTTTAGTTTTTCATTAGTTTTTGCAGATGAACCCCCTCCAGATTAGTGTTGTCACGGTACCAAAATTGGGACCCACTGTGCGATACCAATGAGAATACCATGGTTCTGAGTAGTATCACAATATCACAGCGAAAATGAGGCAGATGTGCCTTTTGTCATTTAGAAAAAGATGAATCACTTTTCTATAATACATCAATGATATTTCAACGGAATAAATTACTTATTGACTTATTCATACTTCAAAAACAGTATCAATGAGTGATGAACATAGGGGGGATCAAAATGAAATAAATAAATGAAATAAAAATCAACCAGCCACCCTCCTCCCCTGACAAGTAAAGAACAGTCCCTAAAGTGCGGTGAGGTTTGTGGACCGTTAACGGCTCGTTTCTCCTCTGACACGTCACATACCTGTGTTCGGCTGGCTCGGCTGTTCAGGTACTTCTGGGCAGTCATGACACCAAGAAGAGGACATTATTGGAGCCGACTTCTCCTCGCCGGTAAGCCGATGGCCGCCATATTTGACAGGAATACATTACTGTCTGTGTCTGTGACCCCCGTTCAACCCACAATCGGTGGGATTCGCCTTTCGTTTCTGCTGCTGGTTGAAATCTGTAGGCTGCTCGCACAGCGTGGTGAATGATTTAAGCCTATTTTGCTCGCTCAAAACTATTTTTAGTTGCAAATGCGAGTGCCGTGACGGACGGATCGCCACACTGCCGACATTTTAATCCGCCCGTCAGGGCACTCTGTTTGATTGCGTTATCAAAACTGCACCGCTATTATTAGGCCTTGCTTTTAACTTATTCCACCGAATACCGAATGTGTGTTTTTTTGCAATATTCGGCCGAATATATTCGGTTACCGAATATTCGGTGCATCCCTATACACCACATCCTGATTTTTCCTCTTTGTCGAGGCAGTTTCCTCATATTAAACTATTCCAGTCAGTCTTCTATTTCAGAAATACAGCTTGAAGGATTTCATCCATCATGGAAAAACAAACAAACAAAAAACCTCTAGGCCGTGCTGGGCAGTAAATTGATAATTTGTCAATATCGTGATATGAGACTAGATATCGTTGTAGATTTTTTTGATATTGTTTTATCAAAAGTGTCGCCTTTTAGGCTGCATCACAGTAAAGTGATGTAATTTTCTGAACTTAGACTGTTCAGGCTGTTCTATTATTTGTCTTTACCCACTTAGTCATTATATCCACATTACTTATGATTATCAAAAATCTGATTGTGTTAATATTTTGTGAAAGCAACGATAGTCAACCCTACAATATAGTCGCAAAAATGATATTCAGGTTATATACAGTACAGGCCAAAAGTTTGGACACACCTTCTCATTCAATGCGTTTTCTTTATTTTCATGACTATTTACATTGTAGATTCTCACTGAAGGCATCAAAACTATGAATGAACACATGTGGAGTTATGTACTTAACAAAAAAAGGTGAAATAACTGAAAACATGTTTTATATTCTAGTTTCTTCAAAATAGCCACCCTTTGCTCTGATTACTGCTTTGCACACTCTTGGCATTCTCTCCATGAGCTTCAAGAGGTAGTCACCTGAAATGGTTTCCACTTCACAGGTGTGCCTTATCAGGGTTAATTAGTGGAATTTCTTGCTTTATCAATGGGGTTGGGACCATCAGTTGTGTTGTGCAGAAGTCAGGTTAATACACAGCCGACAGCCCTATTGGACAACTGTTAAAATTCATATTATGGCAAGAACCAATCAGCTAACTAAAGAAAAACGAGTGGCCATCATTACTTTAAGAAATGAAGGTCAGTCAGTCCGGAAAATTGCAAAAACTTTAAATGTGTCCCCAAGTGGAGTCGCAAAAACCATCAAGCGCTACAACGAAACTGGCACACATGAGGACCGACCCAGGAAAGGAAGACCAAGAGTCACCTCTGCTTCTGAGGATAAGTTCATCCGAGTCACCAGCCTCAGAAATCGCAAGTTAACAGCAGCTCAGATCAGAGACCAGATGAATGCCACACAGAGTTCTAGCAGCAGACCCATCTCTAGAACAACTGTTAAGAGGAGACTGCGCCAATCAGGCCTTCATGGTCAAATAGCTGCTAGGAAACCACTGCTAAGGAGAGGCAACAAGCAGAAGAGATTTGTTTGGGCCAAGAAACACAAGGAATGGACATTAGACCAGTGGAAATCTGTGCTTTGGTCTGATGAGTCCAAATTTGAGATCTTTGGTTCCAACCGCCGTGTCTTTGTGAGACGCAGAAAAGGTGAACGGATGGATTCCACATGCCTGGTTCCCACTGTGAAGCATGGAGGAGGAGGTGTGATGGTGTGGGGGTGTTTTGCTGGTGACACTGTTGGGGATTTATTCAAAATTGAAGGCACACTGAACCAGCATGGCTACCACAGCATCCTGCAGCGACATGCCATCCCATCCGGTTTGCGTTTAGTTGGACGATCATTTATTTTTCAACAGGACAATGACCCCAAACACACCTCCAGGCTGTGTAAGGGCTATTTGACCAAGAAGGAGAGTGATGGAGTGCTGCGGCAGATGACCTGGCCTCCACAGTCACCGGACCTGAACCCAATCGAGATGGTTTGGGGTGAGCTGGACCGCAGAGTGAAGGCAAAGGGGCCAACAAGTGCTAAACACCTCTGGGAACTCCTTCAAGACTGTTGGAAAACCATTTCAGGTGACTACCTCTTGAAGCTCATGGAGAGAATGCCAAGAGTGTGCAAAGCAGTAATCAGAGCAAAGGGTGGCTATTTTGAAGAAACTAGAATATAAAACATGTTTTCAGTTATTTCACCTTTTTTTGTTAAGTACATAACTCCACATGTGTTCATTCATAGTTTTGATGCCTTCAGTGAGAATCTACAATGTAAATAGTCATGAAAATAAAGAAAACGCATTGAATGAGAAGGTGTGTCCAAACTTTTGGCCTGTACTGTATATATGATATTCAAGATATTGTGATACTTGATTTTCTCCATGTATCGCCCAGGCCTACATCCAAGGGTTTGTCCCGTATCTCTCAAAGGACAGAAGAAATAAAACTACTAAAATCCAAAACTTCTCTTTTGACTTTTCTGTTTGATGCAGCTGTCAATGTTGTGTTAATGTAAATGTGGCATTAAAGCAATAACATACTTGAGGTTGTGGGACAAGTGTTAACAGTGTGCTGACAGACAGCAGCTCAGTGGTGCCAACAACCACAGCACTCCATGTTGTGTCTTATCGCTCAATTAATATGTCAATCAACAGCTGGAATTAATACCCATCAACACGTTTAGTAATGTGTCTTATTTACTTTCTGTTGTCGGTCATTGTGTAAGACATTTATGTTTGGTGCCAGTTTTTTTAAGGTGTTCAAAAAAGTTTAGCTGTTGTGATAAAGTCTCTGCGTGTATCTTTGCGTTTGTTCCAGGTTGCTGCCGACTGAGTCAACAGGCAGTCTTTCCAACAACAGGCCGGAGATGGAGAGCAGCACCCAGCCTCCTCCGTCCCAACGCTACAGCTGCTATGACCTGGATGACCTGGATGTTGCATGGCTGGAGCTGGTCAACCACGAGTTCAGACAGATGGGTGAGTGCAAACTGACTCACTGCTTTATTTGATAATGATAGCCAGGAAACACTTTGACTCTGAATGGAAAAAAGAAGCGTCTAACATGGTTGTAAGTGCTGAAATATAATGATAGTGTTGTGAAAATTATTTAGTTTTTACTTGGTCTCTTGCTGCATGCCTTCTGTGAATTAGCCTAGTGATATGATTTTACTTCCCATTAACTTTATTTGCCAGAGCTACATGGGCTTAAAGGAATACTTCACCCCCAAAATGACCATTTGCATATCAGTGACTCACCCTGTGTTAGGTTTAATTCTTTACGAAATGTTTGTTTTTCTCGCATGCCTCTACGGTGAACGAAGAATCCAAAAATAAAGAAAATGAATCATGAATTGAATAAAGGGGATCACTTTTTACAGCAACAAAGCTATATCAAAACATCCATTTACACACTCCTGCACAAACTGTGCAGTATAATCCAAGTCTAATCTATCCAGTGGAATGCTCCTTACTTCCTAAACGCATGCATTTTTGCTAAAATCTTAGTATTTTGCGTAAACTATCTAACCCACAGATGCGTTCCCTAGAAATCCAGAGTTCCCGCGAGAGCACAATTTGAATTTGCTCAGCGAGTCACTCTGGCAATCAGTAATGATGCTCATTACCCATGCCGTTGGAGCCGAGCTGCACCAATCACATGGGTGTATCTGATATAGGCGGGCCAGAGGCGAGCTAAACAGATGACGACAGCGCTGCGACAACGAAGTCCGGAATCAGTCAGTAAACATTGCAAGATGGCTACGGATGAACACCAGTTGTTTGAAACGGCTTTGGCCGCTACAATGAACGAGTTAGACTTGGCTTTTTCTCTAAAAGAGGAACAGAAGACGGCGCTCAAATCTTTCCTTTGCAAGAAGGATGTTTTTGCTGTTTTGCCGACCGCATACAGCAAGAATCTAATCTACCAGTTAGCTCCGCTGGTAGCTAAGCTCTGGATACGTCACCCCGTGTATTGTTCTGATTGGTCAGTGTTATCCAGTTGCGTGCAGTGATATTTTCAAATGCATGCTTGGTGCCGCCCCTCGAGTTGGGCCATTTGCATTACTCATAGCCAGACCCTAAATCTTTCTAGATTTGGGTCTGGATTTCCAGGCTACAAATGAGTAGCACAAGCGTGTGCATTTGAACTCTGCTGACTAGAATGCACGAGCAGAGCTCAAACGCATGCCCAGGCGGCTGCTCATTGGCAAAAATATTTTAAACAGTACGATAAATGCGTGTTTGGAAAGTACTGAGCATACCGCTGGATAAATGAGTTGGATTATACTGCATGAGTTGTGTGAGAGTTTGTAAATGGATGTTTTGATACAGTTTTGCTGTTTTTAAACACTGTCCCCCTTTTACTACAATTCGTGAAGAGCCTTCTCTGTTTTTGGATTTTTGGATTCGTCATTCACAGTGGAGGCATGCGGGAAAAACAGATTTCTTAAACCTTCAACATAGCACAGGGTGAGTTATTGATAAACAAATGATAATTTTAAGGGAGAAATATTCCTTTAAAAGATACATCATACTCTCTGTATAGCATGTGCAGAATTCATATTCCAGTGTAGGGCTGCTGCAACTAAAGAATATTTCCAATTTGTGATTAATCCCTTAAATGTCTTTAAAAAGTCCAAAACGTGAGAATTCCAATCACAGTTTCCAGCACTCTGCTTGAAACTGCTTTTTTCCCCCTTTCAACAGTTCAAAATCCAAATATATTCTATTTATAACAGTGTGAAACAGAGAAAAGCAGCAATCTTCACACTTTAGCAGCCGGAACCAGCAATGTTTTCATTTTTTTATTTGATTATTACTTTTTTTTTTTTGCAGGATAATTTTCTGTCAGTTATCCAATGGATCACCTGAATCAATGTTTCAGCACTGTTTAGTTGATTTATACTGTACTTCAAGGCAAATCAAGTGTCCTCCTTCACCATTACAGTCAGTGCGTAGTGGTTCACAGAGGAATGAGCCTGGCAAATGCTGGTTTTTAGCTAAATAGGAGTGTTTATTATTTTACAAGAAGTTATTTTAGTGTTATGTCTGTTTTTTACCCTTTTCCACACCTGCCCATAACATTTATTAAATATAGATAAACTTTTTCAGCTGTTTTTCTGAAGAATATTAAAAATTCACCTCAAATTTACATTGTAAAAAGTTTTAAAATGTCTTAAAATTTGGTCTCTGAAACCTGTAGATGCTTTTCAGTACATCTTCTTTTCTTTCTTTCTATCCTCGCTCTGGTTATTCCTTCCTCTCCTCCCTTATTGTCATCTGTCTCCTCTGTCTTCTCTGTTCCTCTTCTTCTTAGGTTACTGTCACTCTCTCTCTCCTCTGCCGTGCTCCCTCCTTCATTTTGCCATGGTGACAACTGCTGACCCCGAGCATCTCTCCCATCTCCACCATTTTATTCGATATCTGATCGGCCCTTTTCAGATAAAGTGTCGTAATTGTGTTTATAAATCCCCGCTGGGGTTTCAGGCCTTTATTTCTGGGACACATTCTCCTTAAATCAAACACACACACACACACACACAGACACACACCCACACACACACACAAGCTCTTGCTGGATCAGAAGCGGGTTGTGTCTCATAACCTCCAATGCTAGACCAAACAAACAGACGGTTGATTGGTTCTGCAGGGCGAGGCTGTACGGCTCTCAACTCATGATGGGATGATTCAGCATTTTCTATCTCAGTCCTCCACTTACTGTACACTTGTGTATGAGTGTGTGTGTATTCAGAATGTGTAGTTGGAGAGTGTTGAGACTGGACATGCTGTAATTCAGCTTATTTTACCACTTGTTTCAGTTGGATTTAGAGATAGAGTTAATTTGATTTTCAGATTATTCAGTAGAAAGGAAACTTGATTTTTTTTTGCAGAAAACTAGGCCATCGCAGCAGCACAAAACACTGGGAAACATGCAGGCTGTCAGTTGTAATAGAGAAAACACTCGATATTGAATATCAGGCTTCATGGCATTATAATGCATTCAGGAAAGTAAGTTAAATAGATTAGAGAAGTACATGAAGGCACAGGATGCAGGGACAGTGTGTAGAATAAAAGCAGTACAACATACTGAAACGTAAAGAAAGAAATTCAGTCTATGTGTCTGTCTTTTGTGTGTGTGTGCATGTTGTATGGCTTTTCCATTGGCACCATAGACTGTACTGAATTGTGTTTTCATTACCAGTTTAAATGCCCATTTTGGCCAAAGTACGCCCAGCTGCCTCCAAGTGGGTTGTGTTGACGTCAGGTGGCCTTTGTCATCATTCAGTGGTGATTTAGCACAAAACCCATTTGTACTCCTTTTCCCACACCTAAACTGGTATTTACAAAGGAAGAATGTGTGCACCGTAGGAATTCCTCAGACAAGGCGTACACACAGTTTTAACTGAGATAGCTGTGGATAAGATAATTAGGATGAGATTAAACATAAGTTGACAGACAGGTAGCATAGTTTTTGGGTTGTCTGCCAGTTTCACTGATTGTGTTATTATTTTGCAGGCTGCACGGCATTCTATTAAATGTCAGTCAAAGGCGCATTTATGAACTCATTTTAAATTATTTATGAGTGATGAATTTCATCATTCTTTTTGTTTACATTCATCTTCCTGTCAGTGATTGTTTAATTTTATCCTGTGAAGCATTTTGTAAAGTGAGTTTCCACATGAGTGCTATGAATAATACATTGATCATCCTTCTGACGTTTAATAACAGTGATTACTGAGATTTTACCATGATGACGATGGTTTGCAGAAATGTGATTAACTGGCGGTACATATGCTTCAAATACCCACAGCCGTGCGTATGACAGCTGCTCTGGCACCATTGGAGAAGCTCGCACATGCAACACATTCAGTGATATTGCACTTTCTTTACCATGGTTCTCATTGACATATCTAATGAATGGTGGAGGGGCACAAGTGTCAACATGCAAACCGATGTTTAAGGGCGTTTCTACATCTGTTTATGGTGACCTGTGGTTGTGAAAATGAGGTCTGTGCCCATGCACCCAGTGTCACAATGATCTAGATTCATAAAACAGAATCAGATGTACACAAGGCTTTACAAATCTCATGAAAAAAATGTGTGTGCATGTCTCTGCTTTTGTGCGTACACACAGTTTTAGTCGTGAATCTACACAGGGTTTTATGCATCTGGCCCCAGGGTGTATGCAAGCCCTAAAAAAGTCTTTAAATGTCTTGAATTCAGTTTCATAAATATTAAAGGGATAGTGCACCCAAAAATGAAAATTCAGCCATTATCTACTCACCCATATGCAGAGGGAGGCTCAGGGGAAGTTTTAGAGTCCTCACAACACTTGCGGAAATCCAAGGGGAGAGTGGGTAGCAACACAACTCCACCTAATGGAGGCTGACGGCACCCCAGATTTAAACGTCCAAAAACACATAATTGAAACCACAAAATATCTCCATACTGCTCGTCCGTAGTGATCCAAGTGTCCTGAAGCCCCAACATAAAAAGTTGTTTGGAAAAACGTCATTTGAACCCTGTTTTTAGCCTCATTGTAGCCTGTAGCTCTGACTGCCTCTCTGTGCACTGCGCTCACGTGTGCGTGCTTGCGCGAGACTGTGAGACATGGGCACCGCGTTCATGTGTGTTCACGTGCTTTTGCTGGTCTTGCGTGCAAGCACACATGAGCTCGGTGCACAGAGAGGTGCATGTTTCAAAAAAAGCAAAGAGAATGGAAACATGGAACCATGCAAGCCGTGCTTGCTGTTTGGAGCAAGAAGGCCATGCAGGGTGCCTTGGCTGATAGAGCAAGAAATGAAAAGATCTTCTGAGACATTGCAAGCAAGCTGGAGGAGATAGGCATCCAGCATACATTCGTACAGTTCTGAGGCAAATGAAAAAACTCCCACAACAGTACAAGAAAGTTGTTGACCACAATAACACCAGCAGGGTGGACAGAAAATCTTCTCTGCTGGTTCACAAACACAAGCATGTCGTCAGTTAACACACTTTTAAGCGGGTAGCCGTATTATATGGAGATGCAAATCTCTGCTGCACTGGGATGATGTGCCGACTTAAACATGTATTAAAAAAGGGCTGCTGGATGCTGTGTTGCTTTAAGATAGGGGCGGTCATGACCACATACACATGATGACAAATGTGCATCTGCATGTGAGCACAGCGGTCACATGTACAAACAGAAACATACACAGAAGATAAATATAAAGCAAATACACTGAAAGCACACACACAAATATGTGTGATTGGTGGTGTTGCTTCCCTCCCTCCTGTGTGTTTGTTCAGTTCATGATGTAAATGTCACAGCAGGTTAATATCTAACTCTACTCCCCTTTTCTCTGCTGCTTCAAGAGCAGCTTCTAAATCCACATTTACACTCACACACTGCCTTCCTCTCACTTCTTCATTCATGCCAAAGCTTGTTTGTTTTTTTTTTTGTTGTTGCCAAAATCAAGAACTCCATTTGAAAAATAAAGTTGACCTGATTTCAATATCAGCAGCAGGTGTTCACTTTCATATTAAATTTTATGTTGCATCATTTTGAAGTATAACAGTGTTTTGTTTGGATTTGTGTCTAAGCTCTTCTTCTTTATGTGAAGCTGCAGCTCAGGTTGGAAATCAACCCTGCTGGCAACAAGATGCTCGAGAACCAGTAAATAAAGTTGTTTTCTTTTAAAATTATATTTCATTTTTTGATGGGAAGGGATCGAGCAACATAAATAATAGATAGAGACACGGGGCTCAGCTTCACTTTAAAAAACAACAAACCCCCAGCTGAGCGCTGATCCTTCAAATAAATCAATAAATAATCCTCAAGTACAGACTCCAGGATAGCAGAAGTTTCTTTATTGACTCCTGGAGCATTCGGGCGAGGCAACGAGAGGCAGTGTGACAGAACAATGTAAATACTGAATCTTAAAATGATTGCCTTACTCTTAACTACTTAAATACAAAATTCAGACATAGTGGCTTCGAAAAGATTCACTCGACTCTGCAGATTGTAACTTGATTTGTGCTGGCATGGTCTTCACTTACAGTCTATAATTAGGATTTGTGGCATATTACAGTCTCCAAGTAACATTATCTAAAATGTTCTTCTCTCTGCTTTTCAAAAGTTATCCAAATAATCATCTTTATTTCAGAAAAAAATGGTACTTTTTCACACTAGATGTAATGCCTTGCTGTTACCCCATTTTGTATAATTATTGTAATTTCATTGCATGTAATGAGATAATAATATTCCACATCTGTTTGCCACTGTCCTGGAAACCAGACTGTTTACTTTCCTGGTACCTCAAATACTTTATTTTTTATGAAGAAGAAAGCTTGCATTTGCCAGTTAAATCAGTTTTCATCAACTATTAAGCAGCCTTAGAGCAAGGCATTACTTTGAGATGCAAATGGAGCAGGAATACTAATGCTAATGCCGACACATATTGGCACACTGAACTGAGCTGTCGGCAAGAAGGGCTTAAAGACAAATCTTGTTGTTTTTGGCTTTGATAGCAAATGGGCTTGTAGTGACGAAGCACATGTAGCGTCTCTCTGCTTTTTCTCCGGTTAGCAAAGAGTCAACTGCAGCTCCGCATACTCCCACATCCTGCAGCTAATTTTCAGTACATTTCATCCAAATCAGGCCCAAGGAAAACAGAAAGTGACCTGTGCGAGGTGCACATGTGAAGGAAAGCTGTGAGCATTTCCAATTAAAGTGTGAGACAACGTGTTTTGGCCAAAAATAACTGGAATTTGGTAAATTGGCTCGCTCATTTTGAGCTTCCTATGAGCAGCTTCCCATTACTGTTATCCTTCTTGATAACAAGAACTAAAAGAAACCTCAGAGTGTTGACCCTGTTACTGTACTCTTAGTTTTAATTGCTCTGTACAGGCTCAGCATTTCCTCAGATATTCATCCCTCCCATCTGCTTTCAACACTTTCTGATTTTTTTCTTCAACAATGGAGAAGATGTGCATTAAAATACACTCCTATAACCACCCGTCATCCCAGTCTTTCCTGTTCTACCACAGCTGAATGATTGGTTTAGGTGTTCTAGTTGAGGATGAAGGAAACCTAATCAAGTTTGATTTTCTGTCCTCTCGCCACCAGCGTTACCAGAGCTAGACGAGCTGACGATGGAATGCGTCCTGGTAGAGCTAGAGAGCGTGTGTGATGAGAAGATGCGGCAGGCCATCGAGACAGAGGAAGGCCTGGGCATTGAGTACGATGAGGACGTGGTCTGTGACGTCTGCCGCTCGCCAGAGGGAGAGGACGGCAATGAGATGGTCTTCTGTGACAAGTGCAACGTCTGCGTTCATCAGGTCAGGAATTAAGGGATTAACTGACTCTGTTTAAGCATGTGTGTGTTTGTGCATGTTTTTTTAAGTATCAGTTATCCTCTTGGCTTCATAAAAAGTTTTTTTTCCACAGAATAAGAAAGTGACTCTGGGGGAAAACTACTAAATGCTGAAAGCATTAATACAAAATCAAGGTTGTTCAAAGACAAGGTTTTGTTTTCCTCAGAGCTGCCTCACGTAATTTTTTCTCCCTCAGACTTCATTTATCAACTGAATGAAAGTGCACGTACAGTAGCAATTTCACAAATGCTGTATGTGACAACCTGAGGCCTGAACAGGCTGCTGTTGTGTTTGTTACACAGTGACACAGTGTTAATTTTTCTGTCGGCCCTGTTGGCATTAACACACCTTCGGTGTCATCAGGCTGCCTCTGTTTACCTGCTGTTATGATACTGGATGGAAATTGTTGCCTCCAACTGCAGATCAAATCTGATGTTGGTATCTCACCTCAAAATGGAAAAATTTAGAAATGGAGGGAAAACAGGATCATCCCAATGCCAACATGTGGAAATCATTTATCTGTTACATGCACTCACATGAAAAAAAGTAGTTTTAGTTGTGTAGCTCTTTAGTTGACAGTTACTATCTTGTAACTACCACCTGCTTCAGAATTTAAGGGGGAACATTCGCCTCCAAGCCAACTACTCAGTAACAGCAGGGCAAGAATACGCAAAGTTTGACTGACAGAGACTGACTTCTCTTGTGGCAGTTTTCGTAAGACCATAGTAGCAAGAAAACAGCCACACGAAAACCATATGTCGATGCCATTTGGTTTTTCAGTATAGGTTGTGTTGTCATTAGTTGCACCATCTGTGCTTCCTGTGTCTCTCGACTTTTTGACAGTCAATAGTTTGGGTTTTCAGGTTTGGGATTCATGAGTGACCTTGTTTGCAGTCTGAGGTGTCCTGTAAACAGTTTTACAGACAATTGTTTTACAATGGTGGCCTATGGGGAAAATGCTTCTTTAAAGGGATAGTGCACCCAAAAATGAAAATTCAGCCAATATCTACTCACCCTCATGCAGAGGAAGGCTCTGGTGAAGTTTTAGAGTCCTCACATCCCTTGTGGAGATCGGCGGGGGGAGCGGCTAGCACACGTAATGGCTGACGGCGCCCCAGACTAACGTCCAAGAACACAAAATTGAATCCACAAAGTATCTCCATACTGCTCATCCGTAGTGATCCAAGTGTGCTGCAGCCCCGACATAAAAAGTTGTTTTGAAAAACGTCATATGAGCTCTGTTTTTAGCCTCACTGTAGCCTGTAGCTCTGACTGCTTCTCTGTGCACCACACTCACGTGTGCGTGCTTGCTCGAGACCAGCAAAGGCATGAGGTTTGCTCACCCGTGTTTACATCACGTGACACGTGCACCGCAGGGAGAGACAACGGTAACCACAGTAGCTAAAAGATAATTTGCACTACAGTCTTTTAGCAAAGGACAGCCCAACATGTCTGAAGACTTTGAAATTGAGGAAGAACAGCATTTCTTTGTTGAGCCGTATTTGTTTGACCCCGAGTATATGGACGAAACTCAGGCTACTGGACGAAGCAGCCACCGCAGCTCATGAGCCTAACCCTCAGCCAGCTGCAGAATACCGGAGTCGAGCACTGGAAACCTGGTGGTGTAGTTATTTCAAATGCAAAGCAATGCCAATGGATGAGGAAAGTCTTTGCTGCTCAGAATGGGAATTGGCGATGCCTGCACTTGAGAATCTGGACATCAGTACTGACGAGACTGCTGCTCTTCAGAGACCGTGCATCACCGATCACCCTGAACGCGCACACGTGAGCACGGAGCACAGAGAGGCAGTTAAAGCTACAGGCTACAGTGAGGCTAAAAACAGAGTTCAAATGACGTTTTTCAAAACAACTTTTTATGTCGGGGCTTCAGCATGTTGGGCATGTTGGAGATATTTTGTGGTTTCAATTTTGTGTTCTTGGACATTAGTCTGGAGCGCCGTCTGCCATTAGGTGTGCTGGCTGCTCCCCCCGCCGATCTCCACAAGGGATGTGAGGACTGTAAAACTTCACCAGAGCCTTCCTCGGCATGAGGGTGAGTAGATAATGGCTGAATTTTCATTTTTGGGTGCACTATCCCTTTAAGCCACAGGGAATTTTTTTTCACTGCAATACAGTGAGTGGCCACTGGGGGAAAAAAAAAGCTGTGCAGCTTTCCTGAGAGCCTGTCACTAATACTGGACTTGACTTCTTTGTCCTCTTATGTTGGACTGAGGGCAGACGGGACACTACCGTGACTCACCACGCCTCTCGAGGTACAAGTGGTATTACAAGACAAAATGGACCGTGGCTAGCTGGCAATACATAGACATTTTTGAGATATCATCAAAACTATTTCTACTACTCCTTCATACTGTTGATATATTACTTCATTTTTTGAATCTTATAAACTAACACTTCTGCCAAATCTTACACATTGCACATTTAAAGGGGCATTGAGGTTAGGAAAAATATCTGTGAATTTTTCACTGTAGACACATTTGTGATACACAAGATACAAACTGCGCTTTCTAAAGCTCCACTCCACACAGCACTTACAGTGTTTCCAAGTTTTTGTTAGGTAGAAGAAGTACCTGCCAAACACTGAGGTGTCATAGAGACAAAATGTAACAAGCAGTGAAAGAAATAGTTGCTCTCAGGGAGCATTCAGTAATATTATTGCTTTCATAGAGTGAGCATATTCACCGCCGACTGTTGCTTCTTTGATAAGGCGTCTTTTTAACCTTCAGCAGGTAAAAAAAGAAAAAACTCAGGCCCTGCTTACTGAAGTGTTGTGTTTGATCAATTAAATCCTTTGATCAATAAAGTGCTTTAATTGCTGCTAATGAAGATGGAGTCTTTGATGTCTCTTTTCTTTTCTCCAGTCAGTGCAAAGTTCGTATTTGTACCTTTCCATCGTTTCATCTCTTTTTATGACCAAAAAGCAAGAATACATCAGTTATTACATTGCAAGGTGTCCTTCCTGGTGTAGAGTAGAGTGAGTGATTGCATACTGAGACCTGGCTTGAATGTAGCAGCAGTGGGTCTTTAAATTATGTTTGGCAGTGCTCAGGGGGTTTCATTTGGGCCGCAACTAAAAGATTCAACTCGTTAGAAGTGAAATTTGATAAATCTGACATACATGTTATAGTAATGGAGGAGAAAGAGGTGTTCAGAATGATTCACTCCCTGGAGTAGAGACACTTTCAGACAGTAAATCATATCTGACAATAAAATCAGTCTCTGTTTCTGACTCTGGGAGTTGGATTTGATCAAATATAAGTCAGTGTGCTATTATGTTGGCATGAAAAACACTCAGGGCACCCCCGTGTGTTAGCGGAAGGGGAAATGGGTGGAGCGCTGATGGTACAATAACCTGCTGTGTTGTTAAAACAACACCAAGAGGCATTTTGAAAATGTCTTGCTTCCCCAAGTTGATGTAAATCCGGTTTTAAAAAAGTTTTGGGCGAGACAAAAATATGTGGAGGGACTGCTTAAAAACATTTCGGTCTGTTTGTGTATTGTTGAAGCAGTGACGAACCTGACATTGAAAGAGCTGTGAGATGAAGCAAAAGGGAGAAAAGAGGCATGCTTTGCCATGTGTCACTTTGAAATTTGTGAATTTGCTTATTTTATGACAGAAGACATAAGCAGCAGGCTGTAATTACTTTTTAAGTTTATGGTTTGGAAGCGCTAACCGCTGAAAGTATGCTGTCTCCAAAAATGAAAAGTTTGGGGATTCTGACATGGAAACAAAACGATGGGGTGGCCTTGTGGCGGAGCTGGTTTGTCTGAATCCAGCCTATTGTAAATCATCACTCCAGTCTGGTTCCAGTCTCTTACTTCTCTATTGTAATTTTAAAAAGTCAGAAACATAAATGTGCTTGTAGGAAAATTCGAGCCCCAATATCCATGTTTTGCATTTCACAGTGTCCATATGTATTCACTGTGTTTGGTCTGGGTTTAATTTCCTGATAGCACTGCTTGTGAATGCACAGAACCTGACTATCAAGTCTTATATGCTGGAGCTTCATTGCAGTCATTTAATGATGACAGCATACCTTTAACAAAGAAAGATGATATAATAAAGGTGATTAGAGTATATACAGTATTGACTGATAGATTGTGTTTCTAAAGCAAATTTCAAATTGGCCCATGTTGATTTTCATAGTATTCTGAAATGAAAAGAACATACTGACTATCTTGTATGTTCTTTAAATATTAAACTTTATTTGCCTTAACAACCGTCCTCCCTCTTATTGGGCAAGAATAGTTTTATATTTTGGGAAATATACTTGCCAGTAGTCAAAAAGAAAGCATTTCTTTATTAGTCTGTGAAGGAAAAATTAAGTTTCTTCACTCTGTTATTTTAGTTAGATGAGAAAATTCATACAACTCTCATATCTGTCCACTGAAAAGTTACAGCTTGCATGTGGTTAGCTTAGCATAAACACTTGAAGCAAGGGGACACAACCAGGCTGGCTCTGTCTGAAGTTAACACATATGCCTACCAGCGCCTCTAAAGTGTAGTAAAGAACGTATTTGTTTGTTTGTTTGTTTATTTAGCACATATTAAAAAAAAAAGTCAACATTACAATTACCATAAAAAAATTGACAATCAGTAATACAATTACCATTAAAACCAATTACAGTCAGTAATATAAGAACTTCTTTTTAGGAAAAAAAAAAAAAAAAAGAACAATGGGGAACATGCAAGGAGGTCCAAAAAACCCTCAAGGGGCTTGACAAGAGGACTTCCCTAAATAAACATTAAATTAGACATTGTCACATGCATAACATATACTGTATGTTATGAAGTGTCTCTCTTTGTCTGTCTTCACATCGTCCCCTCTCCTAACTTTTCTTTCTCTTTGTCCTTGTCGCAGGCGTGTTACGGCATCCTGAAGGTCCCCCAAGGGAACTGGCTGTGTCGGACCTGCGCTCTGGGAGTCCAGCCTAAATGTTTGCTCTGCCCTAAGAGAGGGGGGGCCCTCAAGCCCACCCGCAGTGGAACCAAGTGGGTCCACGTCAGCTGTGCCTTATGGATCCCTGAGGTGAGACCCAAAGGGAGGCATTGGGGGTTATGCCGCATCCACATGGATTCAGGCAGATGGCAACACAAAACAAGCATGACGATATGTTGCTATGGTGATGGTTATAAGTTAGCCAGATAGCTCGCTAAGCTAATGTAGCATAACACACTTTCCATGTTACCGACCTGGTATTCCACCCAGCTCTGTGCTGATTGCCTGCCACATATCAGCTTTTCTTTAGTATCTTGATTGATCTGATCGTATAGTTTGGCTGTTGTTGCACCAAAATTATTAGCATCTTGTTGTCCAGATCGTTTGCTCCTTGTTTGAGAGAGCTACATAACATCTGGTAGTAAATTCTACTGTGGAAGACGGTTCATAGTCAAGCTATTTAAACTTTGGTTGGCAAAGCTAACCTCTGTCACCGTTGCCAGTATTCCCTGTCGACCTCACATAATTTTACCATCTTACTCCCTTCCACTAAAATGATAAGTGGTTTGTCTGTCTATTGTCTGCCTGAATTCATGTTGATTCCAGCATGAGATGGTTAACAAACCTATTTTTAATACCAGAAAGTACACCCTCACTGCAGTTCAGCGGGCAAACACAAACCATAGAAACACAATTTGATTTTGTGAACCCTTACTCTTATATTGGCTTCAGCTGAGAGCAATCCAAACTCTTTCACTGTTCAAATGACATGGGAATATATTTGAAATATATCCGAAACAACAGTGTTTACAGGAAATATGGCTTAGACCTTGAGAAACACTCACACCTGTCAGTTTCTTTCAATTTGGATTTCCTTGTTTACAGTAAATGCTTAAAATGCTTCGTGTAGCTTCTGAAGTCAAGACCTCACACTCATCAGTCTGCAGATAATGTAAATTGATTCACGAGGAACCCGTTTGCCAAGCAGCCGCTCGTTTCCACTCGATGCATCTTGATGATACCTTTTTGGAAATGTCTCTCATCTGCAAGCTCCAAATGGACGTAAAGCAGCCGCTTGTTCCAGGGGTTCAGGGACAGATGTTGCTTCGTGCCTTGCACACACCTTTAAACTGTTAAGACAGTCAGTCATGTGTCTTCAGCCTATTCAGCAACACACTCCACCAGCAGATTTCTCAGTAATAGAGTGACTTTTGGCAGCTCAAACCTTTTACTTCTAATTGCCTTCTGTCACCCTTGATTGGGCTAATTGTTTTCGTTGCTGCGTTCGCTTTTGTTTTCTCTTCCTACCGTGGAGGAAGAGAAAAAAAAGATAATTTGCATGTCTGTGCCGTATGTGTGTTTGTGCACGTCCTCGCATAGATGTTTGCGAGTGCTTGCATGAGCTAAAGAGGCGTTAATAGCAGACGTCTACACAAATAAACACACACAAACACGACACACACACACACACACATCACAACACTGGCTAGTAGATTCCTACTGAATATGATAGTAGTGGAAATTTCCAGAAAAGAGGCTCTGTGTGTGAGAGTGCCATTCATAGAGAGTGCTGGATTGGATGCATGTTTGTGTACGTGTGTGTTTGTGTGCATGAACATACCACCCAGCCTTCAAACGATACAGCCCCCCTGCGGTGCCATGTATATAGCTGCCGCCTGCCCTCTGCCTTCAACCCCTAGAGAGAGGTCCCTCTTTAAACAGCTTTTCACAACACACACACACACACACACACACACACACACACACACACACACATATTTATTCACAAGGACGCAGAGCCCCTCTTTTAAAATGCCTTTTCATTTAATACTGTGATTTCCACCCATTTCCACTAAAGTGATTTCAATTTTTGTCAGTTTTCCATCTACCGGCTTTGATATGTGAAGTAATTGGGGCTGGAATATGCTCATCGGGGAATCAGTGTATTAAAGGCCTGCATGTGCTTACACACACACACACACACACACACACAGACAAACACTAGGGATGTCAGTTTCAGTTAATTTTGTATTTTAATAGCCCGACACACATTTACCGGTAACTAACTTGTTAATTTTTAAGAAAAAAAAAAAAAGCAAAATGACATGAAATACAAGACGCCTTTCCTTTTAGTCGTGCTTCATTGTAGCAGTGAGTTTAAACACAGCATTTCAAAGAGCTATGCATTAAGAAGTGGTGAAATTTTAATGTTTTATGACGTGAATGTCTTGCCTTTTACCTTATTTCCTGTTGCTTTGCTGACAGACAGCTGGCAAGCCACGTTAACATGCTGGAACATAGTGCCCACTGCCCACCTTTTTGTCTACACTGGTTAGCTAACGTTAGCTTGGGCTGCCCTGCACTGTGCGCTACGCTAAGCTAAGCTAAGCTAAGCTAAGTTAGGTAGTGGTGCTGTTTATTAGCAATTACTGCGGGTAGCCCTGTTCCAGTGGCAGGATGATGTTGGTGCGAAAACATTGTGGCCACCCCTGGTGTCCCCCCAGGTGGCCCCAATGTGTAAGCATTGTTTACGCACCACTAGCCATGCTGACACTAGCCATGTTTTCATCCAAAAGTGATTCGAATCATTGGGAAATGTGCATTAAAAGAAATACGAATCCTGTGTGTTTCCATTAAATGTACGGACTTTGGTGAAAACTACGAACTCGCACGAGTTTTCCGCAGAACCGGAAACAAAACAAGTCTCGCATTCTTCTTCTTCTACGTTTTCTGGCGGTTGGCAACCAGCTTGTAAATGCATTACCGCCTTCCCGACCCGGAGTGTGGATATCACCATGGAGAGAGGTGCGCTACGTCAGACTTAATTCGAACATAACTGTTTCCATCCCCCGTTTTGCGAATCAACATTTTTTCGAATCAACCAAAACCCGGCTAAAGCGAGCGTATTTTAGTTTGTGCGAATCAGTGGATTTTAATTCGAATTTTGGCGTTTCCATCATACTTTTCTGATGTGATACTTCTAGATGCGCATCTAAACAGGCTGATGGAAACATGGCTACTGCTAACAGTGCTAACAGAGCTAACAGTAGTTTATCCGGCATCTTACTCACTGGGGTGACCTAGCGGGGAGACGAGAGGGTGGACACAAGAATTTCAAAGCAACGCAGTTGGATTGGGACGGTGTTACTAGCGTTAATCGCTGAATGACTGGTGCCGCTAGCTAGCTCCCACCTGACCCAGCTGGTACGCAGTGTCGAGCAGCCAAGGCTAATTAACCAGTGGAGATCAGAGGGTGGGCAGTGGGCACTGTGTTTCCACCTGTTAACGAGGCTAGCAGACTGTCTGTCTTCCAGTAGATCTGGATGGTGAACTGAAGAGTAGCAAAATTAACCTATAGACCGACATGCATAACCTGTCAAAAATATTCACAGTGGTTAACAACTACACCACTATCAACGATTAACCTTTAATCAGTTAAATGGTGACAGTGGTATTTGATAAGGTGGGTGTGCTATTAAGCAGACGGATAAATTACCGAAAAAGAAGTGGGTATACTCCCCTATATATTCCAGGGGCTTTTGGCCGATAGGTGGATATACTGTAAACAGCCAGAAAAAGAGGTGGGTATACCCTGTATACCTACATATACCCTCGACTATACCACTGACCATTGACAGCCCTAACACACACACTTGCACATAGAAAACTAGAGACCTGACATTAGGAGTATTGACAACCAACAGAAGAGGTAACGGTGGAGGGATTGTTTAAAGTGCAGCCTCTTTGTGTGTGTATGTGTGTGTTTGTGTGTACAGTATGTGCTCTGTGTGGGCATCATGGTTGAGAACAATCCAATCAATTAACCACAGCATTCAAAAAGTGGAAATCCTTTTGCCATCGATTGGTTCGCACATCAGCTGTATAAAAGAAGCGAACATTGACAGTGACAGCTGTGGCATCAATGTCTGAGTTGCACTTTATATTGACATCCTCAATGGAGTGAAAATTGACCCCTACTCCGATCGAGTGTGCTGTACAAAAGACATCAATAATAACAGAAAGAGCCGAGGCCGTGTGCTCGGGCTCTGGATGAGCAGACGAGCGGAGGAAAAGAAAATACGGATACAAGGACGAGCGGACGGAGAGAAGGAGGGGCACGACCCGCGGAAATCAGTCGTCAGCTTGTTAATGCAAGCGTGAAGGACAAGGAAAGAGGGCAATGCCGCAAATATGAGAATAAGTGAATGTGAAAGAGGTGGAATGGTTTTTGGAAAGAAACAGGCAGCGGAGGAAGGAAGGAAGAAATGGTACTCTGGTGATGAGTGCTCTCCACTCTATTCTGCATGGCTGGTTGGCACAGGTCAATGACTTTTTGGTTGTATTTGGTGGAGAGGGGTTAGGGGCCAAAGCCGTTCTGAATAGACCGCTCAGAGAGAGTGAGTCACACTGGGCTTTACAATCATGTTTTTCCAAGGAGCACAGGTGTCCCTGCTTTGAGTCCAAGAACAGACTTTCTAATTTGACATCTTGGCTTTTGAAATTGGAAGACACTGAAGAAATTATTATTCAAGCTACAACGAGTTGATTATTATCATGCAGTGGAAGGTTTGGTGACAGTTGTGATCATTTTATAAAATGATGACCGTAGATAAACCAGAGATTTTGTGTTGTATTAAAAGATGGGTGAAGCATGATCTCCAGCTGGTAATTGTTAACATATTTGTATTAATGATATAACTCTGCTACAAGCCAACACAACTACTTATTTTGAATTTATCAATTAATTGTTTGTGCTACAAATTGATGAAAATACCCGTCACTGATTTCTCAAAGCCCAAGACGTTGTCTTCAAATCGGTTAATTTTTCCAATCAACAGTCCAAAAGCCAAAGATATTCAATTTTAAAAAAAAATTCTTGATACAAAACCAAAAAAAAAAAAAGCTGCAAATCGTCACATTTGAAAAGCTTGGACCTGAATGTGTTTGTCATTTTGATTAAAAACATGAGTCAATAGAATAAATTCTCAACATTTGTGACAATAAATTTCCTGTTGATGGAAATGTATCAGCTTATCATTTCAGCACTAATAAATATTAAAATTAAAATTAAATTATTATGATGACAATAAATATGATTATCTTTGCACAATGTTGATTATAGTGTTGTCATTATATTGGAATTTCTAACTGTGATACAATACCTTAAAAAATATATTGGTTTCTAATAATATGGGGAAAAACTGACACTGAGGGCATAGTTAAAACATTTTTTTAAAGATAACTATATTAAGGCTACAGGACGATAAAGATGACATTTCTTTACTTGGTTAGTAGCAGAGAACTAGGGATGCACCAAAATACCGAATACCGAATGCCGTTTTTTAGTTTTTCATTAGTTTTTGCAGATGAACCCCCTCCAGATTAGTGTTGTCACGGTACCAAAATTGGGACCCACGGTACGATACCAGTGAAAGTATCACGGTTCTGAGTAGTATCACGATACCACAGCAAAAATGAGGCAGATGTGCCTTTTGTCATTTATAAAAAGATAAATCACTTTTCTATAATACATCAATGATATTTCAGTGGAATAAATTACTTATTGACTTATTCATACTTCAAAAACAGCATCATGAAGTGATTAACATAGGGGGAATCAAAATAAAATAAATAAATAAAATAAAAATCAACCAGCTACCCTCCTCCCCTGATAAGTTAATAACAGTCCCTAAAGTGCGGTGAGGTTTGTGGGCCGTTACCTGCCACAAAGAGAGAAATGTGAACGGCTCGTTTCTCCTCTGACACGCCACATACTGTGTGCCGCCACGGCTCGGCTGTTCAGGTACTTTTGGGCAGTCATGACAACAAGTTATTCACCTGGAGCCGGACTTCTTCGTCGCTGGTAAGCCGTTATCATGCACTGCCGTATTTGACAGGAATACATTCCTGTCTGTGTCTGTGACCCCCGTTCAACCCACAACCGGCGGGATTTGCCTTTCGTTTCTGCTGCTGGTTGAAATCTGTACTCACACAGCGTGCTGAATGATTTATTTTGCCCGCACAAAACTATTTTTAGTCCCAAATGCGAGTACAGTGACAGACGGAGTAAAATATCGCCACACTGCCGACATTTTACTCCGTCCATTACTGCATGCTGTTTGATTGCGTTATCAAAACACGCCGCTATTATTCGGCCTTGCTTTTCACTTATTCCACCGAATGTGTGTTTTTTTTTGCAATATTCGGCCGAATATATTCGGTAACCGAATATATTCGGTGCATCCCTACAGAGAACAGCAGATAAACTGTAGTAAACATTAACAATAAGTCTGAGCGAAAAAGCGCAGCTTTTACTGGTGTATTGATACAAGGGAAAATGAGTATTGAAATCTTTTCCAATATTCAGAATCCATATGTATTGATAAATTGATACTTTTATTACAAATAATGCTTTGTGTTGGTGTCAGATAAACTGTATGTGTTCCTGCCTGCTCCCTGTAGGTGAGTATAGGCTGTCCAGAGAAGATGGAGCCCATTACCAAGGTGTCCCACATCCCCGCCAGCCGCTGGGCTCTGTCCTGCAGCCTGTGTCGAGAACACACAGGAACCTGCATACAGGTACGTACGATAAACGCTCATCACTGCATTTGTCCTGCCCTAAGTTTGTTATGAAGTGACCTCAGTAAAAAACAAAATTAAACAAATGAAAATAACATGAGCAGCACTCAAACATCTAGTTAAGTTCTGGTATGAATTAAGTGGTTTAAAAACTTATCTTAAAAAACATTTAGTCCCCTACTGACACTTTAACCATAACCTTAAAGGGACAGTTCACCTCAAAATCAAAAATACATATTTTACCTCTTACCTGTAGAACTATTTATCGATGCAGAATTTTTTGGTGCGAGTTGCTAAGTGGTGAGAATATCTGAACTGTCCCTTTCCCTTTAAGATAGATTAAAACCAGTTAATAAATAAATGTCCAAATATTGATAATATCACAGTCTTATTCTGTAGAAAAGGAATGTAGTACTTATATTATTTTCTGTACTCTGCTTCTCATGCATGTTGGGCATGATATTGTCATGTTTGCATTTCGGTCTGACAGCTGCCCTCCGCTATTTACAGCCAAACAGATGCGCTGCACATGTCATTTCTCCTCATCCTCCTTCTTTCTTCTTCTTCCTCTTCTTATTATTCCAATCCTGATGCCATCTGCATACACTCACTGCATCATCTGGAGGTGGCTTTGGAAGGAAAACAAGCTTGAAAGAAAATTGGAGAAAGTTTTAATTGTGTGTGAAGTTCAATATTATCATCAATATCAGACCCAGTCATCCTGACAAACAGAAAGATGGGGTGTACATTCTGAAATAAAGCCTTACAGGCACATCCACACAAAGAGTTATACTCACATATACACACAAGCACAGCATTGCTCTTTTGGAATAGTTTTAAAGTACAAACATAGCACACACACTCTCTCACATAAAATGTCTCTCAATGACACTGATCATCAAAGTTCTTAGCCCCCCGCTGGGTGCGGGTGGATCTGTTTGAACTGGGCACCTCTTTAACATGCTGCTGAGTACGCAAACAAACCCCCCTGCTGACACACTAACACTAACCCACTTTACTGCTATTAGCTTGTGGACCATTCAGCTTTTAAAGTGCCCTCAAGGTGAACTGGATTCCTAAAGCACTACACTCGTTGTATACACACGGGTGCTGGATGTATATGAAGGTGTGTACCCAGGAGTGTGTCCAGATGCTTGTTTGTGCAGTGATGAGAGTGTTTGCTGTCACAGTATTGATGCTTTAGATTAACAGCGAGTCCTTGGGCCAGAATTGCCCGCAGGGAGAGAGTGTCTCTCTCCTGTTTCCATGGCTAGAGGCAGGTGGCTGTACAAACACACTCACTGATGAGCTGCCACCTCATACACGAGGTAAAGACGCAGCGCTGCATGGCACCATGAGTAGCAAGAGTCCTGTGAAGGCTCGTAATGTAGGGAAGAGTATGAAATAAGAAATCAGTTTGAGAGTCTGAGAGAATAACACAAATGTGTCATCAGTCTTGATTTTCTTCCAGACCACTTTTGATAGTATGAGCCTTGTTGCTCTACGATACTTCAAGTCTTTGGTAATTTCATCTTTTGGTAATTTGGTGGTAACAAACTTTCTTTAGTCTAATGACGCCTTGTTGAGTCTCTTTTCATGTACTGACAGTTCCTCCCATAATGATTGTCGGGTGTTTCACAGTGTTCAGACCTAAATATTTTGTATTTAATGACTTGCTGTATAATTGGCAAGTTTCCCAAGTCTAATGAGACTCCTAATTAGTGCGCTATTAAAGGAAGGTGGACTGGAAAGGTCAGCCAGTCAAACCTGTGCTGTATTTGTTAAAGCTCAGAGTCAGTGATAGGGTGACACAATCTGCTAATTAAGAAAGTACTTTTGCTTCACGGTTAGTTTGTGTTCTTCACAGATTTCAGAAGAATTTGGCAGCCATGTAGATTTTTAATGCCTGTAGTCATGCTATAGGTACAGCAGGTGAATATTGCATCTAAAACTACAGTTATTAGGCTAATCTTGCTGTGCAACAAAAGACAATGCTTTTTGTTCAAGTCTAGTGGAGATCCCAGAGTTTCCAAAAATATCAAATAAGTCAGGCTGAATTTTGGGGGAAACATCTAGAATATTTCCATTTAATTAAATGGTGCAGCCTTAAAAATGTGGGTTCTTAAGTTTAAAGGGATAGCTTGGATATTCTGAAGTGGTGTTGTATAAAGTTCTTATTCATAGTGACTGTATTACATACAGTCGATGGCGGTTGGCATGACCCAGGCAGGCAGGAGTCCCAAATTGAAAGCAAGCCACGTACTGCTGTGGACGTGAGCAGCAGCAAAATGTATTTTAGTTACCTTAAAAAAGTCCTGCCTAAAAAAAAATCCACATCAGTTTAAGTGTGTGCTATGCTTAGAAGTTTTTCACCGCTTTACCTTGCTATCAGACTGATTTCCAATGGGGAACTGAAGCCATTATATCACTCCCCTAAAAGCCAGAATCCATTGAAAAAAACTGTAATTTAACATCACTGAACACAGAAGCTGCTGGTGTACTGCTGCCTCGATCAGTGAATTTGTTTGTGTTATTGCACGACTTTGGCATTTAAAAGGGGTAGTTCGGATTCACCAAATTCAATTACACAAACTAACTAACTAACTATTCGAGGCAGCAGTACATAAGCAGCGCCCATGCTCAGCAAGCTTAAAGGGAAAGTTCCGTTTTTTACAACCTGGACCTTATTTCTGGCATTAAATACGGTTGTTTACTCACCCAGATAAGTTTGGTGTCATTTGGAGTCCTTCAGAAGATATTTGATCCGGGAGAGCCACGTACATCCATATAGTGGGAATGATCGGGGCACTGACAATGAGGCTCTAAATAACATATTATCTGCCACGAAACTTGTTCATTTCACCAATATGTTTTTATGAATCGCTAGAATATTCAGCCATGTTTCAAAAAACTAATAGTAGCAAATTCCAGTTGTAAAGAGAGCCGTGCGCGCACCTGGATGACATCATCCAGGTCAGAGGTTAGTAGGTCAGTATAAATGACCCGGATGATGATGACAAGCAACTCTAGTGATTCATAAAAACTTATTGGTGAAATGAACGAGTTTTGCGGCAGATAATGTGTTATTTAGAGCCTCATTGTCGGTGCCCTGATCATTCCCACTATATGGATGTACGCGGCTCTCGCGGATCTAAATATCTTCTGAAGGACTCCAAATGACACCAAACTTATCTGGGTGAGTAAACAACCGTATTTAATGCCTGAAATAAGGTCCAGGTTGTAAAAAACGGAACTTCCCCTTTAAATTACCATTTTCCACAATGGAGTTTGGTGTCTTTGACGAGAGCATAGACCTCCACATTTTGTAGGTAATACACTGACTATGTATAAGTACCTCATACAATCCCACTTCAAAACATCCCTTTAATGTTTATCATTAAGTATAAACATTATATAGCTTTAGTGAAAAGCTAGAACAAGATGACAATACATAAAGTAAGTAGTACTGTCATATGATGAAGATGATTTCAACAACCATAAAAGGGGGAATAAAAGAAGAAACCTGGATGTCAAGGAGTCCAATCTTTACATTGTAACCCTCTGTTCTCCCCTTAAAGTCAAAGATTTATCTCAGCTGATTGTACTTTTGCCACACTGTTATTAGGGTAGGCCGACACCATGTAGGACACCACATGAAAGGCTTAAATTCAGACAAATCAATGTCTGAGGGGGGTAAAAATATAGTCCATGTGGGCTTAAATTCCCCACAGAGCATGAAATGTTTTAAGGAAAATCAAAGGTTGAAAATGAATAGATAAAAATATAGCTGAACAAATCATCAATATTCCTCAGGTGTCAGGCTCTCTCTCACCATCCAAGGATCAAAACTGCGTGGTGGATATTGGCACTCATATACTGTAGGTTTAAAAATCCATGATTTCATCAGGATTTCTTCACTTGGCAGGGTTAGAAATGAATGATGAATGTCTCACCCCAAGGCATGCTAGTTTAAGTTCTTAAATTCTGCCAAACAAGATATTTAAAGTAGATTAAAAAAAATCATAGAAACTGCTGCTGTCCATAAGCTCGTGTCAAGTCAGTGGCCTCCTCTTAATTATCTAGAATTGCTGACCAGATGTGTGTGGGAAGTAATGGTCTCAGGTGTTGTGTTTGTTTTGAGACAGATTAAAAATGTTTCAGATGCTTCTGTGTCTAAAATCAAAGGTAATTGAAATAACGATGAATGAAAATGATCAAAGTACTGTAATGCTTTAAGAGAGCAGCATAGGAGCATTGGAAAAAAATAATAGAAGTCAAGAATATGAATGTTAAGTCAATTAAAGTAACAGGATTTTTCTTTTAACGTCTTTTTCTGGGGTTTATTACAATTTTTAAATGTCTAAATTACATTACAAAGACCAAAGTTATTTAATATTCTAACTGAATATACACTCATTCTGAATTTGAAAGGTTTGAAAGTGTTATTCTTTCCCATAATTAAACTGGTATAAACCTTTCAGCAATCATGGTGCCTTCACAGATAAGGAAGTTAACCATGATGCCATATGCACTAAGACACCACCATACCATCGCAGATACTCGCTTTGAACTTTACACTGGTAACATTTTGGATGGTCCTTTTCCTCTTTTGTCTGGAGGACAGGACGTCCATGATTTCCAAAATGAATTTGAAATGTGTACTCATCAGACCACAGCACACTTTCCACTTTATGTCAGTCCATCTCAGATGAGGTCGGAGCTTGGAGGATGCTCCTTTATACCCATTAATGATACCATAATCTGTTACTACCGTATTTAATCTGTTTACCTGTGGAGTGTTCCAAACAGGTGGTTTTGAGCATTCCACAACTTTCTTAAAGGGATAGTGCACCCAAAAATGAAAATTCACCCATTATCTACTCACCCATATGCCGATGGAGGCTCAGGTGAAGAGTTTAGAGTCCTCACATCACTTGCGGAGATCCAAGGGGAGAAGGGGTAGCAACACAACTCCACCTAATGGAGGCTGACGGCGCCCCAGATTAAAACGTCCAAAACACATAATTGAAACCACAAAATATCTCCATACTGCTCGTCCGTAGTGATCCAAGTGTCCTGAAGCCCCGACATAAAAAGTTGTTTTGAAAAACGTCACTTGAACTCTGTTTTTAGCCTCATTGTAGCCTGCAGCTCTGACTGCCTCTCTGTGCACCACCGCGCTCACGTGTGCGTGCTTGCCCGCGAGACCAGCATAAGCACATGAACACACATGAACACGGTGCCCATGTCTCACGGTCTCGCGCAAGCGCACACATGTGAGCACGGTGCACAGAGAGGCAGTCAGAGCTGCAGGCTACAATGAGGCTAAAAACAGAGTTCAAGTGACGTTTTTCCAAACAACTTTTTATGTCGGGGCTTCAGCACACTTGGATCACTACGGACGAGCAGTATGGAGATACTTTGTGGTTTCAATTATGTATTATGTATTATGACGTTTTAATCTGGGGCGCCGTCAGCCTCCATTAGGTGGAGTTGTGTTGCTACCTCCTCTCCCATGGGATCTCCGCAAGGGATGTGAGGACTCTAAAACTTCACCTGAGCCTCCCTCGGCATATGGGTGAGTAGATAATGGCTGAATTTTCATTTTTGGGTGCACTATCCCTTTAATCTTTAGCTACCCGTCCCAGCTATTTTGGATTTTTTTTGTGGGCATCAAATTGACAAAAAAAAAGTTTGAACAATCTGCAAATCATTGCATTCTATTTTTATTTACATTTTACACAGGATCCCATTTTTGGGGGGAATTCGGGTTGCACATGTAATGTACATTTTACTACTGTACTTAAGTAAAGTTTATTGAATATAGCACCTTTTACACATCACAAAGTGTCTAACTGGACTAAAATTGTTAATAAAACCATAAAACAGTGATTAGGTTATTTGCCACTTCTCTATGCAGTATATGATGCTGCTGAAAGAAAAGTCAGTGCCTGACTGACAAGAGATGTGAATTCTTTTTGGAAGTATGTCTCATTGTACACAGTCTCTAGAAGTTTAGGATTTAACTTTTTCCAGTGGTCTAGTGTTTAAAAAGTTAACAAAAATCACACTAATCAAATTGCAATACTTGTAGAATCACAATACTTAAGAATCACAATACATATCGTATCGGCACTTAAGTATCATGATAGTATCAAATTGGGAGATGAGCATATTTTCCCAGCCCTATCGTGAATGCAGAGAGGAAAGTCTGTTGTTGGTAGATGAGGTACATTAAAGGAATATAACTTTCACTTACATCCAAAATGTCACTTTCAGCAGTGTGATATATATGATATGGTTAAATCAGATATGATTAATATCTTTTTTCCTGGCTACCTTATGCAAAAAGGTTGAAGATAAACATGCTGGTATTCATAAACACCTAAAAGTACTCACTCAGCGTGGGCAATGATAAAAACCTCATTCCCTGCCAGAACTGAGCAGGTGCAGTTGAAAAGGCCAGATGAGTATTTTTTGCGATGACTCGGCCCGCACCAAACAACACATCCAGCCGGCTCCCCGCTGTGTTCAACCTTTCGCCTTTTGACACCAAATAAGTGAGAGCAGCTGCAGCGGGCTCAATCTGACATTTGGGGAAGTCACTAATAAAACGGGTCTAAAGTGCAGACTGTAACTCCACTAAGATGATGATGTATTAATTGTGGTGATATGTGATTATTGGATCACGCCTTCTGCTCCTCCATCACTGACTTTGTTTACTCAGCGATTTAATGGATTCATGGCAGTTTGCTCCTTGAAGTGTATTTTAAAGCCACAAAATACAAGAGTTAACAGCATTTGAAGGTTGAATATCGAAGTGTTCATCAGATTAGATAGGTGAGACATCAAATTTCACCTATAAAAGAAACAAATGACATAAATTAATTAATATTAAGAGAGGCTAAACATTGTGAGAGCAGTCAAAGTGAAACCAAAGTTGGAATCATGGAGTCTTTTGAGCTGCAGAGGACTGTTTACCTCCACACACGTCTCCCTTTCCTGTGTTGAAGATAAGGGGAATAAGGATAAAGTGACAAAATTACACCTCAGCTGCATGCTTTGGAAATATAAGCATTTTTTTCTGGCTAAAATCTAAACACTCACCTCCCACTATGATATTGCTCTGCAAGCTACAGCAAGCTAACAGTCAGATGTAGTTTTATATGATGGGTGGGGGAAGCTAGCACCAGAACTTGGGAGCAAGCTGCTCCCAAGTTCAAGATGAGTCATCAAAAATGTTCATTTCACTGTGTCTTCAAAGGGTCAGGTCAGCCAAATTACAAACCAAAACAAAATTGTTTTCACTTACTTCCAATGTTATGCAGCTGTGCAGACATGTCTTATTCTTGCCCAAGTGTTGAGAGTCTGTCCCTGAAATATTTGCCTCCACTCTACTGTAATGCAGAGAATGGTTTTTGTGTGAAGTGCTCAATGTATTGGAAAAACTACATTAATAATTCCAAAAGCTACATATATCTATCTACTCTAAATATACTACAGCAGGGACTCTCAGCCTATTTTACACCACTGACGGTTTTCATATTGACAACTGTGTTGTAGATCAGGCCAGCAGCACTGGTGGGGGGTAAACATGAGTACTCACGCTAAAAGATAAAGTAGACAGGGGGTCTTCTGCAAGGCTGTTTGGGGTCTTGCATGGATTCATGTTATATTAGTCATATAAATTATGTAAGTTGTGGTTCAAGCAAGATGTCTCTGATTTTCCTCCGAATGCAAAAATTAGCCTCAATAGTGAATCAAAAAAGAGGAACAGAGAGACGCAGAAGAGTCACAAGAGGGACAGTGGGCAACATTAAAACTAAACTATAGACACTGAAACTTAAATTAATTTGTGCTGCATTTTATTGTCATTCTTAAACAAATTTAAAAACAAAAACAAGTACAGATAGACTTCTTAGGAACTCTCAGCAGCACGAGAATGAGGTTTTGACGATGTGTCATGCATGCGACCCACTGCGAGAGATTTAAAAAGTAGTTGGTGGCAGTTAGGAGCTAACTCAAAGAAGAACAGCGCCTAAAAAATGTCTATAGCATCATCTATGAGTAAAGCGGGGTTCTGTCACTTTTTACCCAGCCATTCAATCACAGTGGAGGAGGGACGAATACCATGAAGACCATCCATCACATCTTACATGTACAAGTGCAGAACAACAACAGTGGAAAAGAACTATGCTGATGTACTGTGTATATATATTAATATATGTTTTCTCTCATAAACCCATATAAACTGGCAGGTCCACCCTCTCTCACTATGAGCTTCAGCCTTCCCATCATCCAGAGCAAGGGCTAGAGCAAGCACCTTGTGGCAACTTTTTTTTTATTTCCGCAGGATATTCCGTGTCATAGCAACCAGATGCAATCAAAGCATCTCTGCTGAAAAAACATTGTGCCTCCAAAGTGCCCCAAAGCTGGGCTTTTCCCTGAGAAGCGTTTGGCATTTTCAACGGGAAGTAATGCTTTGGTGGACGCCCTAAGTATAAGTAGATAACTAGATAACTTCCCTGCCTATTATTTCTGTGTTAAATCAACTAAAAGCCTGTTGCCTCTTTTAAGCATTTTTTGTAAGAGCTTCAATGTTACCAAAGAGCTGCTATATTTTGCTTTTTGAATAAAAATCTTCTAGTTGCAGAAAGCAGTCGAGACAGAGACGAGGGAGGAAAGGTTGTTTGTCGAAACGTTAGACAGAAGTTGTTCTCCAGACGGTGGAGTCACTAGGATCAGTCAGGTTTTTGTCACAACGCTCAGATGCAACACAGTGAAGAGAGTCACCATCCTGCTGATGCTGAACTCCTCTGAAAAGTACAAGCGCCGACCTGCACACGCACACACACACAGACACACAAACACACACACAAATGTGCACATACATGCACACAGCGACAACAACACACAGCCGCAAGGGCTCTCACACACACAAAATCACACCATGCCTGGAGGGACTCAGTGGGAGGCCGCCTCTTAGTATGACCTGTAATGGATAGCACTGAGATACACACACACACAACTGCACACACACACATCCCAAGTTACCGAAATGTCAGCAGAAATGGGGGAACCGTGTTTGTTGTGACTTGGCTTGTCTTTCTGCTTTGCTGCACTTGTATTGGAACCTTGATAACACAAGAAATGGACCGAAAATGACACTTTAAAACAAATAGCTGTGACAAAGTGTCTGAGAAATTGAAGAAAAAATTGTGTGTGTTTGTGTGTGTTTACATCCATGTGTTCCTCAGAAAGAGAGAGAGAGAGAGTAAGAGGGAAGTCGCTCTAAGATAATAACAAAAGCAGTTTGTTTTCTATCAAGCATTTCAATCTGCTTGTTTTTTAATGAACACAGATACAATTAACACTCAAATGGGATTTCTCTTTCTCTGTTCCACCTTCCATTCTTTCTTCTTTCTCTTCTGCTGCCATAATACCTGAGCTACATCTCTTATTTGGCTCCCCACATCCCTCCCTGCTTCCTTCTCATCCCTTATTCCTTGTATCCCTTCTGTCTCTGTGCTTAACACTACTTACTCTCTTTCTCCCCCTCCCAGTGCTCCATGCCCTCCTGTATCGTGGCCTTCCATGTGACGTGCGCCTTCGACCACGGCCTGGAGATGAGGACCATCCTGGCAGAGAACGACGAAGTGCGCTTCAAGTCCTTCTGCCTGGAGCACAGCTGCACCGCAAGCAACAGCAGTGCAACCAACAACAACTTCTCCAGTTTGACCAGTGTGAGCAACGGCAACCACACAACCACTTCCACCACCAACGGAGCACACAGCACAGCCAGACCCGACTGGGCCACCACCGGCGCCAGTTCTGAGCTCCGGCCGGACCAACAGCACCAGCCAAACAACAGCGGTGACCCGGAGCAGAGGTCGGTATTGTACCCGATTTCGGTGTCGACATCAGAGAGAGCTGAGCGGGACCAGCTGGAGAGGGAGAAAGTGAGCCAGAGGAAACAGAAGCTGCAGGAGCTGGAGGATGAGTTTTACCAACTGGTGGACCCCATTGAGGTGGCTGAAAACTTGGCGCTGCCCGTCTCCCAGGTGCGTTAGCAATTGAAGTGAAACACTTGGATTTTTCATATGAAATGATGAGAAATGATGTGCACTTGTCATTCAGTGTAATATATGCACCTCCATATGCACCAGAAATAACTCACTCCTCCAGACAGTGAGTCGGGTATAAATAAAGCATAAGTAGAAAGCACGCAGACAGGGCTGACACATAGCTTTCTGATCAGACGAATCAGAATAGACACACTTGTCCATGCTAGCAGGCAACAAGTATGCAAAAACTGTGACAGCGACGCAGATGGAAAGTTCCATTTCTGTCCAGTAAGTAGCTCAAGCCTCTTGTGATTGGCTGGAGAATTTTGCATGGTCTGACAAAACTAAACAAATCTGTGGAGCGCTTTATAATTTTTTCCATGTAGGTTTGAAATGTCATAAAATCTAAAATGATGATAAATAAGAACTTGATAAGGTCTTTCCATTCTGATCTTTAGCCAGTATAATATGCGGTTAATCATGAATCAGCTGAGATGAAGACTCTGCAATTAATTAAATGTAATCAGATGTGGTATTGATGGGTTGCATTTAGAGTGCCGGCTCTAGTGCATCAAATAAAGTGCTCCCTATTCACAGGTAAACCGTCTGATAAATCACGGGCTTTTGTTTAGAGCTTGCTGTGATTAACTGGCCTTTGCTTTCCAAACATGTTTGTGGCTGCAGGCAAAAGCTTTTTTCACCATAAAGGAAGACTACAGCTGTAAGCAAACAGCTTTTCATACGTAGGGGATAAAAACTCAGTAGCCTGTTTTAATGGAATCATGAGATGGTGCACATTCAAGGCTGTTTTTCAAATGCAGTTTCACTCATTGTAAAATATTCAAGTGTGCAAATGATTTTCTTTGCTGTTTCATTTGAAGCAATTGATGTTTCAATCTGCTGACTTTCATTAGAACATTGTCATCTTAAAAAAGGGGGAATATTTTGTCTCTCCACTCAGGTGGACTTCTTATATCAGTTCTGGAAGATGAAGAGGAAGGCCAACTTTAATCGACCTCTGGTGACCTTAAAGAGGGACGAGGTGGACAACCTGGCCCAGCAGGAGCAAGACGTCCTCTACAGACGCCTCAAACTCTTCACACACCTGCGACAAGACCTGGAGAGGGTGAGTAGGAGATATGTGTGTTTGTTTGGTATGAAGCCAGTGAAACCTGTTGCATTGCGCAGTGCATTATTCAGACTGGAGGTAATTTTTCAGAATGTGTGCGTATGTGTGTGTGTGTGTGTGTGTGTGTGTGTGTTTGCACATGTGGGCATATGCATGCTCAGTGCTCGATCCAGTCAGTGTTGATGATATTTAAGGGGTAATTTACATTTCTCAGAATGTTAATTAAAAAGATCATTGACAGTATCATATAAAGTTGATTTTTGCTTTCATGAATATTAATGCTAAATGAATGAATAGCCTGAAGGATGAAGGCATAATGAAATGGCTGGATGATATAATGAGTGAATGAATGATAGCCCAGTGTTGAAAATTGAAGTGAAAATCCACCCACCACACAGAATTCATTGGTTTTCCCTGTGATCTGTGTTCACTGTGACAGTTAATTCGCTATATGTAAAAGCCAGGCAGCTTAGAGGACTTTTTCATTAGGTGTGTTTGGGTTTGTGTGCTTCTGTCTTTGGGACACAGAAACTTTAAATTCAGTCTCAGGTGACACAGAGCACAGAAATTGCTTATGCATATCCCCTGGGATGTGGAAAGTTACCAGTAGAGTAGCGTGGAGTGGCACAAGCTAGATAGAGTTGGGACCGAATTCTTTCTCTTTTCTCGGGGTTCCATCTCATGAGCCCCTTGCTGAGCACCACTGTGTTCCCCAGAGAGAAATATGCTAATATTTGTGCAACTGCATGTCATAGAGGAAGGTATTTTTATTTGTAGTCTGCAGGAGGGTCTTAGAAAGGATATTGCCAAGGAAATCTGTAGTTCTGCGGAAAGACGTCAACACTGAGGTAATAGAAGGAACAGTGTACCAGATCTTAACCCAGGTGGTGTTTAGCATTAAGTTTCTGTGGTAATTATGGACTGTCCACAATGTTCAGGCATGCTCTATTTTTCAGCACTGTCGGACAAGTGGCCTCTCTCTGACTTCCTCCAGGCACAACACATTCTCACTCCCAACTCGTCAAATATGGCAGCTTCATCAGTGGCCTCATGTTTCAGACTATAATACTCTAGGTGCCCCTCTAGCATCAGTTTTGGAGGTTAAAAATTGAGTTGTTTTTGGAGTTAAAATTTCTTAAAGTATGTTGATGAGTATGTCACGCGTGGTATGTCATGTGACGTAAGGGACACGATACTGTAACTACATTACATACTTAACACTGACCTTGGGTTTGACATGGGACACAAACGGTGGACTCTTGGGTGAAAGTTCTGTGTTTGTGTGACCCATCCACCTACTCTCCCTCCAACCCTTAGTGGACTTTCTTGCTTTTAACACTACGTCATTGCTGCAGATGAGATTACATTGGAGTTAGCTGAAAGCCTGGTGGGTCTCATATAGATGCTGTGGGTTACCTTGTACACTGACCAAGCTGCTGTATTTGACGCCATGGGAATGAGACTCTGTGTGTGTGTGAGCAAGGTAACAGAACACCTTTCGCCAAAGAGCAGTGATCAGTTATGTAGTTGTATCCTCAAATCTTTGAATATATATGTCTCAGACACTAGCTGTTAATTGGTCTCCATCTGTTGGTGAGTTAGGGTGGATCTGGTGATGAGGGGTTGCTGCCAGACAGTACTGATAAATGTGCAGTTACAGTGAATTAGAGACATTTGTTTGAGGCCCCTGTCTCTGAGGTCTTCAGCTCAAACCCTGCAGATGAAGTATACCTGCATCTGTGTGAAGGTTGGAAACAGGAAGTCTAAGTGGGTTGTGTTCAAAGCCTCCCTTGTGGAGCAGCTGCTGGGACTTGAGGCCAGACTTGTGGTGGCAACCAAAGAAGCGGCTGGTGGAGGTGAAGGAAGCTAAAGAAGGAGGCCTTTTAGGCTTTGTGAGTTCAGAAAACTCTGGAAATAGCAAACAGTTATTGGCAGGCCAGATGGACAGCAGCTTCTGTGGTCTTGGAAACAAAAGTTCAGGGAGGCCATGGAGAAGACACAGACCTCTGTAGACATAGCAGTGTTGGAGAGTTGCTATGTTTAGGGTTGCCACTGCACTGACAGATGCCTTACACTAGATGTATATATCCATTTATAAAAAGGAGAGGGTTGCACACAGAAATGTATCATTCAATAAATTTGCTTGATCATTTGTCTGGCAATGCACAACATTTTTGGCTGTTTGTCCAATCATCAGTGTGCCACTGAAGAAGGCTGGATGGCTGGAAACATTTTCTGTATTGCCCATCAAATGATGAAGTTAACTTCTTCTTTTTATATATAGACTTAAAGAGTTTCCCATTCCAAGGGTGGATGACATTTACCCCAAAATGTTCTGGATATTGTTGGGCTGTCTTGGCTGTTTGCTGTGTTTCAATCTTTATACTACTATACTTCATTTTATTCCTGCCTTTTAGAGAAACATCTGTTCTTTTTTGCTACTTGCAGTCTGCTCTCTGGAGCTGTGATTAGGCAGAAATGATTACTGTAATCACCAGTATCAGGTATTTAATACATGCTTACTACAGTTCAGTGTAAACCTGAACTGCAGTAGTACAACAGTTTTGAGGTCAGTCAGAATGGTGAAGTATTCCCCCACTGCCTTCAGTATCATAGCTCAGACTTGGCAGCTGAATGCTAACCACTATGTAAATTTCCTTGCTTGGTTTCTCGGATTGGTTGCGCCCATGCCCATAACCTCACTTCAGGCTCATGTTCGCCGTGCTCTGATAGTTGATTGGCATTCTCTGCAGCGGTGCTCTCAAAACCTCTTTCTGACCCTGCAATCTACCCAACAGAATCTGAATGACAGCAGGCCGCCCACAGCCAAACATCTACTGCAACCTGAGTTTAGGGGGATACAGTTAACTCTGGCCTGCCAAGGACAGGCGGCTAGACTGCTATGCTGTTTCTCATGTTTGGACAAATGTTTTATATCAATACCACAATCTAAGAAACACTGTATGGTATTTGCTTACTTTCTGATACTAAATCTACCAGAAAGAATCCATGTTGAAAAAGTTTCCTCCACAAATCCCCTTAACAACCAGTTTTAATGTATTTTCTTTCAGCAGTCTGTAAGATAAACCAAATCATCTGGTGTCCTAAATACTTTTTTCCTTCATTTCCTTGGCATGTGATTTGATACGGTGCAGTTGGCTCGCCTTGGTTTGGTTCAGCTTCATTGATTTAATTTGGCTCACAGTGGGACAACCTTTTGGCAATTAGGTGGCTGCATATCAACCAAATGACCCATTATTCTCTAACAAACTAAAATAATAACATACAAACACAGGAAATAATTGGGTGACATATTTTAATTGCTCGTTGGTTTTCCCATTTAGCCTCAGCTGGTAATACCAGTTGAGAGGCCGAAAAGAGTTCTGATTAGACTAGTGGATCAGCGTGTGTCACCCAGCATCCCACAGGGTTAATTTAGCTTTTAGATAACAATTTCTCACCTCTTAACTTGAAATGATGGAGTGAAAATCATTTCCCACAAAGCAGAACACAGGTGGGTTTTAACAGTTTACAAGTGGCTGATCCAATCCATGATCTAGACTGAAAGTTCACCGTGCCATCACTCTGTTTTCCTCTTGTTGTGCACACCACAAAATAATAAGACCCAACTATGTACAGTAGGTGCACAGGGAGTTGTGAGTCTGTAGCTGTGCAAACTACTTTCGATATATAATAATATCTGTGATGGAAACATTACTTTACAGAGGTGTTTGTTTCCTATAGACTTGTGTAACTGAAGCCACACCACAGTGGTCTCCAGTGGTCAGGGTGTATTGATCGTTGCAGGCCAGGCTAACTTCCTGACCAGTCAGTGTATCTGTAGACTCCATAACTCCTCTCCCTCCTGACCACTTTTTTATTGACGTCTGTGTGTTGTAAAAGTGGACCATACCACTTCAGGTCTCTCGGGTTAACTCATCCAATAAATAAAAGGTAAACCATTTGAAGACACTAAGTAGGAAATAACAGCTTATTTACTGTTAATCAGCCAGTATGTAAAGCACCAAAAAAACAGCTGTGTGTGCATTGATCTGATTGTTTATTCACTTGTTCATCCATCTGTAAAACCTGTAGGAATTATACATGGTTAATTAAGTAGTCAGTAATATGTATACACAACACAGCAGGGATGAGTCACATCACAAAAGAGGTTTCCAGGGGACTCTAGAAACTGATAAACATGCTTGTAATCACTAACAGGCTAACATTAAAGGAGCAATTTGTCCCACTACCCACATTTGGGAGGTCTGTGCTATCCAAGTGCCCTTGTAGTTCTACCTGTAACACTGTATATTTGATCCTACTTATGTCTTTATGATGTAAAGATAACGTAAAGATTAAATTATCATTAATCAAGCTGTGAGCTCTAATAAACCTCCACCTGCTTGCAGTCTTGCAAGTCTTGAAATTTCGCAGACCACTCGAGCATAGTTGGCTGCAACCAGAAGAAGGAACTTCACTGCTCGCAGATATTGTAAGAGTGAATTTTGCAACAGATCCTGGTGTATATGTCCAATTAAAGTGTTATCTCTGGAAACATTTGTTGTGTTTGACTTTCAGAGTTTCTGTATTTGGGTTTTTGTACGACACAAATGTGTTGTCAAATCGCTGCAGGTGCTTCTAAATATACTTCTTATTTATGGCTATTTTTTTAAATGTGTTATCAAAATCCTGAAGATGTTTTGAAAGATCTTACACTTGCGTTTTGTCCGTTTTCTCTCAGCCATTATACGCAGGGTATCAAAAATGCTACCAGCAGGATTTTGTCTGTGCTGGAAGGAATCCTCTATCACATAATTGTGTTGAAGCTTCGTCAAAGTATGGCTTATGAGTCCGTAAGCGATGCTACAACCTCAGATCAAAACAATGTGATGCTTGTTACTGATGGCTCCCACAAGGGGGACTGTGTCATCAATGGGCGACGACATGGTTACCACGTTCGGAGGCTGTCTGAACGAAGACAAGTTGTAGAATCT